ATAATTCAAAGTTTATAAAATAAATTTAAATAATTTTTTATTCGCTTTATTTAAAATATTATCAAGACAAATGATAATAGTTTAATAAGAATACAAACGCTGGGAAGTGTAGGCAATGACTTACAATGACTTTTCCGGTGGAAGTGCTCCAGTGGTGAGAACTCTTTCGAATAGTACTCTAATGTTATTCTCTTCATTCAAATGACTTAAATAATCGATGTATGAAAGTATGAAATCAGGTGAGTGTCCAAACTTCTTGAGTCCCAACTCGAATATCTTTGAAGTGACGTTTGCGTCCTTTACACACAAATCATGTCATTTAATATAAGTAATTACACAATCAAATTGAGACAAACTTTGTTGCAGTAGTACTCCATGAGAGCGGCGGCCGTATAGATCTCGTGCCCACATCTCGCGTCTTCACGCGCTCTCTTAAACACACTTCTGGCGGTTGCGATGCTTTCAGTGCGTCGCCTAAACTTCATGTATTGAATGTAAGATAATGTTGGATCAAATCCCGGCGTTTGAATATTCAGTAGTTTTTCGTATATTTTAATCGACTCTTCCTTTCGATTTCGCGACTATTAAATAGTATTTCAAAAATTTCATTTCAATCAAATCTAATTATATGTCATTTTCATTATAAAAACCTCTTCAAAGTCTGCGTACGCGAAGTTGAGTAAGACATTAGTGGACAGTAGTGATGAGGTGGCCCTGTCGTAGATGGTGGACACGTCGTCCTGTAATGTCTTTTGTTGATTCATATCTCCCTTCTCTCCCATCCATTTGCTCTTCTCATCCAAATACGAGGCGTATTCATACCACACATCCGGGTGATGGCCCAGACATAGAATACACTGCTCGTAGGCGAATACAACTGTCCAAACAAACACCACAACCCGTTGTTATCAATACAACAAATTATTTATATTCACAACAATTCAAACCTCTTTTAATGACTAGAGAAATGTCTTCAGTTTTCAAAGGATTACTTTTCTCCCATTGGATGTATTTCCTCCAGAGCTCCACTTGTTTTACTTCATCGGCAGTGGTTTGCGGCGGAACTGCCGGTGCGTTCCTATTGAGCCCTCGAGTGACGGCTTCGAACTCTTTGGCAACACGTCTGGCATTCATGTAGTCCTTCGAACGGTCGGCAATCATCTTCTCGGCTATCATTTGGTTAATGTTCTGAAAACATACAACTTGTGATCAACTGGTGGGACAAATGCATGCGACAAGTGGTCAGACCTGTTCGTAAGTGATATAATCCTTCCAAAAGGCCTCAATGCTGGTCATGGGATTCACGACTCCTTTTTGATATATTCTTCTAACGGCAGTAATCTTTTGGTTCTCCGCATAACTGCCGATCGCTTCGACATTCTTGAGGAACTGGACGTAATCATTCCAAATAGGATACGACTGGATGTCAATACCTATCTTCTCCAACGCAAAGTCGTACGCCTGAGCCATCTTCTCGCGGAAGTTTGCTAATGAGATCTTTGTTTCCTTTCAATTCAGTACTCATTAGTAAACAGTCACTCAAAATAACAACTCAATTATGTCTTAAGTTATGCAACAATTCAATCATAATTTCTCATAAAAACAAAAAAAATAAAAACAAAAACAAGAGAAGGTTATGAATTGCAACAAAACTTGAAACATAATATGTTTATAAAATATTATTTTGATGAGAACTCACTTTAATATAACTTAAATAACACCTCCAAAGATCAATATTGAGAACTTTGATCAAACATTTCTGGAAAAGCTTTATATGGAAATGATTAAAGCAAAGCAATATTTAGTGAAATAGTTGACAACATATATGCAGTATTTGATACCTTTTCTACTCTATCGAAATTACGCGATCTCATCTGTCAAGCAAATCAAATATATTTAATTATTATTTTATATCAACTGTTATTATAATCAATAGAATGTTTAGAAAAATTAAGAATTTTCATGAAATATTGAATTAAACATATATTTTGAGAAATTAAAAAGGAATCTAATTATGAAATAAATTCAATAAAATAATGTTCAACCAAAACAATTTTAATATACTGTATGAACAACATTAATATACTGGTAATTTATATCAATCTCACCTTTATAAAATATAATTTAGGATAATGTATTTATAAGAATTTAATACAATGCTGTTTAGTAATGACTTATTAACAGTCCAATAAATCTAAAAACGTTTAAACAAATTATTCCGACAATAGATTAGACAAAAGGATAAAACATTATATAAGAATCCAATTAGTTTTTGGGCCAAAAAGATTCCCAAACAAGAGTTTTAATTAATTATAATAATTAATTTGTTTTATTTAACAAGAAATTAGTCTAACTGTCAGATCAAGGGATTTAACTTCTAATGGATATAAAATAGATAAACAATTCTCCGGAAAATTTCAACTAAAGACTTGAAAATCTGT